AATCTCCAGCACGTGCGTTCAGATGGAGCGGCATTTACTACAGAGAGCCATAGTTCACTGACAAGTTACACAAAAGCAATGAATCGCCTGCGATTTTAAACGCGATTTTGGGTAGCTTGTCAGTATATATATATAAAAAGCTGTTTTATCACATATAAGAGTTTGGATCACATGGCCAGCCATTACAAGAAAATGGTGAATCTGAATGCGTAGTCACTTTTCTTAACAAGCTGCACAATTTAAAATGTATCATTCATGTCTGTGAATATAAAGATGGTAATAACTAGTCATCATTAGTCAGAAATAACAGATCAATTACAAACCTTGGATATATATGTTAGTTTGAGGGAGCCGACATTGGATGTTCCTTCTGGAAGATTCTGTAGAAGAAGGAGAGGGTTGAAGTAATTAGAGCTGAAATTCTGAATATAAAATGATACACACTGACTTGAGAAATTTGTTTTGAGCAGTATCTGAAAACAAACGTGGACAGAATACATTTACGGCGAGTGTACGGTATTCTCCAAAGTTGTAGAATTGCACAGGGGTCTATGAAAGATTTAACACACATCTACAGATGAAGTGAGTTAAATTATTCAAAGTCAGACATGGCTTCAATAAAAGATGCTGGCTGGAGCTACTGACTGAGTGTTAGATAAAGCGATTGGTATAGAACCTGCAGCAGCCAAGAGAAAAGAGAGAATCCATTAAAAAAAACAAAGAACATGAAGAATAAAAAAAGACAGGTCCTGACATGGGCACCTCATCAGTGAACTGGTTCTGGTCATGTTTCACCTGTGGTTTCCTCATTTACTCTAAGCTAAATGACATTAAGGCACTGAAAGCATCAGAGCAGTTAATGTCAAAGCTTTCTCTCTGATCCAACTCCAAAACAACCACATTAAACCAGAGTGAAAATGAGTGCAGAATATATAATATATAATAACTAGTTGCTTATTAGCAAGCATATTACTAGCATACCAGCTGTTTATTAGTACCTATAAAGCACATGTTAATGCCTTATTCTGAATGGCCATATTTTAGATCCCTTAATCCAACCCCATATCTAAACTTAAAGGCAGGGTGGGTGATTTGGTTCAAAACCTTTTTTTGTTATGCTGGATGAAAGTCTCTTCACATCGTGATAGCAATCACCAAGCTAAGTGGTCTAAATGTATGTATATTGTCTGTGGAAGGCGTAGGACCAAAATATGTTTGTCCAATCATATCTGATGACGTATCATGCGCAGACATGATACGTCAACAGCGCGTCCCATTATGCTATTGCAGACCGAGCGAGAATGGAAGGCATTCTTTTTTTAATATTATG